TGCAGCATAGCTGTGGGGAGGGCAGGGTGACTCCTTCACTCAGTGCCCACTCCTCATCCAGCAGTAAGGATTTCTTAGGACGGGAAGAGCGATCCATTTGCCCACCGCACACCAAGAGCTCTGGGGCCTGCCACACTCTCAGAGACTTCACTTCAACAAGTCAGCTCTCTCGTGTCATCCCATGGACTGAGAGGTCCCAGTTCAATTCCCAGTCAGGGCACATGCCTGGGTTTCAGGCTCGATCCCCATTAGGGGGCATGCAGGAGGCAGCTGATCAATGTTTCTCTCTCCCTTTCTCTCAAAAAAAAAACAAAAACAAAAGTCAACTTTGTTTCCTTCATCACTTCCCCCACCAAATGATCAAGTTTTTCTTTTAAAGAAAGAGGGGAAAAAAAACTCTCCCCAGGCTTAACTTCTTGTCCCTTTATGATAGACTTCTTGAAAAAGTCTACACTCTCTTTCCTCTTTCCTCCTTCTCACTTCATTTCCTTTCTTGTTCTTGCCAAGGCGGCCTGTGCACTGAGTCCCAGGGATCCCCTGTCTCTGCCCACTAGTTCCCCCTTTGTGTTAAGTGACTCCCTTCTGACTGACCCTCACTCTGGCAGCCATTCTGCCTTCTCCCTCTGCAGAGGTGGGGCATTCCTGCCGTCTGTCTGCTGTGGATCCTCAGCTTTCTCCAAGCCTGAGCTCCAGGTCCACATATCCTGCTTCCTGCTGCATTACCCCACATGGGGTGACCCACAGGCACCTGTCCCATGCTCCCTGCAGCCCTCTGGCATTCTCTGTACCCCTTTCACCCCCACTCCCACCTTGCTCCAGCCCTTGGATCGACTGGCAGCTCTGTGTTGACTCTTCTCCATTTTGTTCCTTACAATGGAACACCCGCTGCTGTTGTTCCCACGACTCTAGCTAACTCATCTTCTGCCTTCATCCCAGACCACCTGATCAGGGGTTTGTGCCTCTCTGTGCTCCAATGCCCCCTGAGCTCTTCTCTCTGAACCTCCGCTTTCCCCACTGACAACAAGCAACTCCCAGACTGGAATGGTGTCCTCTCCCCAGAGCAGAGAATTAGTTTCAACTTGATGAACAAATGGCTTTGTATGCTGCTGAGAAGGATAAGAGGATGCATCCCAGAGCTTATCGTCTGGAAGGGGACAGCAAACATTCCTGAAAAGCTAGGTATGTTGCAAGAAAGAAAGGGCCCAGGGCTTCCCTTAAGAAGTTCGGTCGTTCTGGTTTGGATTTTTTAGGAAAAACCACAAATTACAGAAAAAATAGTCTACGGCCATACCACCCTGAACACGCCTGATCTCGTCTGATCTCGGAAGCTAAGCAGGGTCGGGCCTGGTTAGTACTTGGATGGGAGAAAAAATAAAAGTATCCCCATTCCTCATTGAGTAAAACATTCTGTAAACTCAAGTCAGAACAAAGCTTGTTTACCGAACTCTAAGAATGATTTTTACTAAACCACAAAGCAATTGTTTTTCTAAAAATTAACCCATGCATCTAGGAACAAAGTCTGTTTTTCCTAAAACAATTTAATTGAACACATATTCATTTCAGGTCCCTGCCAAATAAGTCGATTTGGAAATTCACACATGTGCTCTCCTGCCTGGGCAGCTGAATTCCAGGGGCCCACGACCTACCATAGTGCCCATTATGCCATTCCCTCCCCCATCTTTGCCACAGGATTTGATGTTCCTGCTCTCCCAGTGACTGGCCACCATGGTGCCAAGCCCGACCCAGGCCTTTGTATTTGCTGTTCAGCTCAATTGCAGAGATTGGCTAGTAACCCTGTAAATAGGCCTCTGCCCCCCCGGAGGCTGATGGCTGGAGATAGAAAGCTGAGCTGACCCACACTGAGAGATGGATGCATGCTTCCAGTGTCCTAAGGTAGCTGTGCCCAAATCCAGAAATAGTCCTATGTTGAGCACAGGATGGGGAGGGGTTGGAACCTCGAGAGGCAAAGTTATCCCTACCCACTGCTGATAGCCCCACAGATGCTGCACTGTCCCCTTAGCTGGCCCTTCTCATAGGCCTGCTTGGAGGGGATAGAGGCCACCTGTGGGTAGCTGTGCCCCACCCAAACCTACCTCCACCTGGAGTGACCCAGCCCCGGTGTCCAGGTGTGTGGATGAGGACTAGTCCACCCCATTTTACAGGAGGGCAAACAAGCCCTCAGGAAGGGTGGTCAGAGCCTCCCCTGGATCTCTTAACAAACAAGCTACTGTGCTCCCCACTCGTAGGCCACCACTTTTCCCACTGGTGAGCCTCGAGCTGGGTGGAACTCAGGGTGTACCGAGGCATTGCCCCTCTCCGGCCACAATTTCCTATTTTGGTCAGGAAAGGCCATAAGGTCTTCCTTTCTAGGCCTAAGGACAGGAGCTTGAGGACCACTGCTGCCATTTCCACGACGCTAACTTGAGGAGGCAGCCTGGGAAGTGGGAAGATGATTCAGGGCAGAGGCCAGTCTGGAGCAGAAGTCCTATGACCTCCAGATCCCTGTGAAGATGCAGAGGGAGCCTCAGTCTGGTGACCTCAGGGTCAGTGGCTGAAAATATACTAGTAACATGCAGGGGGAAGGGAAGGAGGTAGGGTGGTGAGCTGCTTCCCTTCCCTCTCTGAGACATTGCTGAAGTTCGTGGGCTGCATGAGGGGGTGGAGCCACCTGATCAATAAATCCTTGGGCTCTCTGGGGTGCCCTGCTGCCTGGAGGAGCCACCTTAAGGAGCCACTCATCCACAGCTCTTCCTCCCTCTGAGTGAGGAGGCTGCCCTCCCAGGGCTGGGACTCCTGGATGGAGCTCCATCCTGGGTGGGTAGCACACTGATCCTCTTCCTCCTCCCAAATCCCTCTGCCCATGCACCATGCCCAGAAAAGCCCCCTTTCCCTCTTCTCTCCCCAACAAAACTTCTGTGTCTGCTTGCTGCCCCTAGTGTGGGAGAGAGGAAAGGTAGAAGCACTTGCCCCTGTCACCACACATCTGTTCATATCTCCACCTACCATGGAAGAGATATGACAAGCCACAGAGAAAAGGGCAGAGGGCCTGCCAGCCACTCTGGTCCCCCAGCACCAGGTGCCCCCAGTTGCCCCCACCCTGCTGCCTGTCTCCTGGAGAACACCCCTTTCCCTGATCCATTGGCCTGAAGTCTCTGTTTCCTTCTCCCAATTTCCACTTCTGGAATCCCCGAAGAAAGGGGAGTAGGCCAGACAGGCTGGGGTTGGCCCCCAGCTGGCAAGGCTGGGTAACCTTCAGGCCCCAAGGTTCTGGGAGAAGGCTCGCCACCAGGAGCCGTCATGGTTGGGACCCCTGTAGTCCTAGGGTGAGGGGCAATGGCAGAAGAGGGAAGGGCATTAGGAGACACTAAAGCTGCCCCTGAAGTGCCAGTTGTCCAAGAGGACCCTGGAGGAAGTGCAGAGGGGTATGGGTGGAAGTGTCAGACTCCTTGAGTCCTGTTCACTGTCCATGGCGATAGCCCTGCCAGGGCCAGCTCCAGGCTAGGCCTCCTGCTACTGCTGCTGACCACCCAACCTGGATCCTCAAAGACTCAGCTCTGGTCCCACAGCTGGTACCCTGGAGGAAAGTGAGCCTCCAGCTCACCTCTGCACCACCAGCATGCCCCAAGGCCCCATGTCTTCCCAGCCTGAGTGGGAGGAAGAAGGTGCTGGCTGGGGCTCCTTCATCTACCTTGAGCCTGGGGTTGGGGGTAGTGAGGGCAGGCTGCAGCCTCAGCTACCTTCTGAGGAAGGATTCTGGGCACTGCAGCAGGCAGTCCAGACCCGATTGCCCATAGCCTCTAAAGCTGTGCCCTGGCTTCCCCACCCCACCCCTGCTGGAGGGAAAGTGTGCCCTGGGAGGGCAGGACCACAGGCTGTGGACCCTCCGGGGGAAGCAATACCTGGTGCAGACACTGCTGGTAAGTAGGGTGAGGGCCTCCAGCAATGGCCACCAGGGGCCATGGTGGTTAAGGACTGGGGACTATGTAGGTGGAAGAGGGGGTAGACAACACTGAGACACCCCCTACCACAGCACCCCCAGCTGTTGATACTCCTGTTGCACATAAGCAGGGTGCCGTCTGCTAGTCTTCCTATTTCCCAGAATTCTAGACAATTTATGATACTTATGTTAAATTAAAATTAAAGGTTGGACGTCACTAGTGGAATAGGAAATAATTGTACTGTACTAAAAAACCTCAAGTAAGATAGTGACTAAAGTGGGGTCCCCCAGGCTTCTTTCTTGTCTAGTGAAGCCATTGTGTCCCCCTGCTAGTGGTAAGAGTTCCCCAAGCCATAGCAGAACACATGTGTGCAGATGGATGATTACTATTTTGCACATTATTTTTTCTGGCTTGATGATGATGATGACGACGACGACGACTTTAGGTGTTTGTTTTGAGTGCACAGGAGAGCACGGTAACTAAAGGAGAAAGTAGTAGACTCCTATAAGGCAAAACCTTATCGCCTAAGTTAAAACCGTGTGCGCTCAGGCGTCTCACACGTCAGGTTTGCGTAGGGTGGGTGGCCGCACGCCCCGGAAAGTGGAGGGCCCCACGCTGGGTGCACTGGACGCAGGAGCCGTCCACCCGCGGCATCCGCGCCCGCTCGCGAAGCCGAGCTCCCGCGGGAACGACCGGCCCCCTCCCCTGCAGACTGAACCCCGAACGCTGCGCCCTGCCGCCAATAAAGATGTGAAATCCCTGACGCTGCTGCCTCGAGTTCCCTCCGTCGTCCTCGTCCTCGGCCCCGACACTGAGACGCTCCCCCGCGTGGGGTCTGGAGGGACGCGGGCCGGCTTGCAAACGGAAGGGACACGGGGCAGGCCCGGGCCCCGCGGGCAGGGGACGGCGGCAGACACCGGCAGGGGATGCTCGCTCGCCGGCGGAGCGGGATCCCGGAGCGGGTGGCGGAAGGACAGACCAAGGACCACGTCCCATGCTGCCCCGCGGCCGCTTCCGGGCGCCCGTGATGCCCTGCGGCGCGCCCGGCGCCAGGCGGCCTCGGTCATGCTGCGCCCGCTGAGCTACCTGGGTGCGCGGCCCCGGTGCGGGCCCCCGGCCCCGCTGCTGCTGCTCGCGCGCGGCCGCAAGACCCGCCACGACCCACAGGCCAAGTCTAAGGTCGGGCGCGTGGCGACCCCTCCCGCGGTGGACCCCGCGGAGTTTTTCGTGCTGACGGAGCGTTACCGGCAGTACCGCCAAGTCGTGCGCGCCCTCAGGTGTGTGTCGGAAAGGGAGGCGGCTTCCGGGTGAGGGTGGGGCGGGCGGGCGAAGCGGGTGCCGACTCCGGGCGCGTCTCTGCCCAGGCTGGAGTTCGTGTCCGAGGTGCGAAGGAAGATGCACGAGGCCCGGGTCGGCGTCCTGGCAGAGCGCAAGGCGCGGGAGGACGCCACCGAGCACCGCGAGCTCATGGCCTGGAACCAGGCGGAGAACCGGCGGCTGCACGAGCTGCGGTGAGCCGGGCGGGGCGGGGCGGGGCGGGGCGGGGACGCCTGGCCTGCCCGCCTGGAACCCGGCCCGCTCAGTCTCGGCCTCCTGCTCCTCCAGGATAGAGAGGCTGCGGCAGGAGGCGCGAGAGCAGGAGCAGCTGCAGGCCGAGGAGAAGGCTCGTCAGGCCCGAGAGGCACAGGCCCGGGTGCAGCTCAAGGAGCAAGAAGTGCTGCAGCTGCAGGTGGGCCGCATCTCCACGGGGTGGGGCTGGAGGCCAGGAGCTCAGCCTGGGAGGCCTTCGGAGTCCTAGGTGTAGCGAAGTGGGGCGCCCGCTCGTGCAAATAGAGAGGGCGGTCTTGACAGCAGGTGCGGACTTGGGAGAGGGGTGCAAGGAGAGTGCCTGGCAGGTGCAGGACCTGGCGGTGAGAGTTGACATTGTAAGGTGTTCAAGTAGCTAGCAGGTGGTAAATTGGTGTCTGAGGGAGGGACCCCTGCAATCCACAAAGAGTTTGCATTTTGTCTTATGGATAATAAGTCACTGAAGGGTTAAATATTTGGACTAGGTTGGCAGGAGTGATCCAGCAACATGGATGAGGCTTGAATTAAAGTAATAGAGGGAGAAGGAGGAGTTTGAGAGAGTTTAAGGGTACATTGTCACAGTTGGTGTGCTGTGGTTCTGGCAGAGGTGTCCAGTGGATGGTTAAGAAAGAGGGCTGTGACAGGCTGCTGGAAGGGCAGTGGGGCCCACAAAGAGGACTCCCAGCATCCTTCCCAGGGGAGAGCTGCAGCCTCTCTGTCAGTGGGCTAAAGGCCAGCAGGCTGTGTGGGGGCTCCGATTCAGCTGCCTTCTCTCTCCCAATAGGAGGACGCAAAAAACTTCATCACCAGAGAGAACCTGGATGCTCGGATAGAAGAAGCGTTGGACTCCCCAAAGAGCTACAACTGGGCCATCACCAGGGAGGGGCTGGTGGTCAGGCCACAGCATGGGAGCTCCTAAGGGCCCAGTAAGGACAGTGCCTGCCCAGGGACTGTGTGTATATAGGGGTGTGAGTGTTGGGTCTGACCTAGAATAAAACAGTGGTGTTTCTTATGAAGAAGGATGCTCACCCTGTTCCAGTGTGGCCCTCATGCTCTGGCCTCTGCACCTGCCATTTGGTCATAAACTCCCACACTCAGTGCCCTTTTCTGCCCCATGTACAGCTGTCAGCACAACCCCAGACCTTAGAGGTCTCCATTTTACAGAGGAACAGACTGGACCATAGTCACAGGCCATGGAGGGCAAATTATAGTCCGTGGGCCAGATCTGGCCTACTACCTGTTTTTGTAAATAAAGTTGTATTGGAATACACCCATTCATTGACTACTTGGAAACTACAATGGAGATGATTAGTTGCAACAGGGACCATATATGACTTGCAAAGTGTAAAATATTTGTTATATGGCTTTTACAGAAGAAGTTTGCTGATCTCTGATCTAGGATTTTAGGGCTCCAGCCAGGAGTAGCTATCACCTGGTATCTGAGACACAAAGACTTCAATCAACATCTGGGATGAGGTTGAAGAGACATGTTTCTCTGAGCCAGAGCTGCTGCCCATTCACTTGACCTTGCCCAGGTACCACAAAAGGAAAAAATACAAAATCTCAGCTTTCCTGAACTCCCACATTATAGAGAGGGTCTGGGAACACCCAAGAAATGAAAACCTTTTAGGAAATGAGCAATCCCCCACATTCAGGTTAGGAAGCAGGGACTAGATGTCCAAGCAGAGAGCCTTGCACCTCTGAGGGTAATGGCCTCCTTCCTCAGGCTGGTAATAGCCCTTCTTTTCCCTGGCACTGAACCTGGGCACAGCACAGTGGAGGCCTTGCTTTCAGATGCTCAACATAACTTCTGGGGTGAGAGCTGATGGACAGATATTGTGGGCCATGGATTGGCAACTGTGCCCACAGCCTTGAACTTTGTTGTGAAGGGTGGACAGACCATCTGGTCTCCTGCAGTAGAAGCCTTTGGGGAGCTTTCACATGGGACACTGGGCCTGTATTAGGAAGAACAGTTTCATTCTTTCTAAGTCCCTTCCTCAGGGTGCAGACACAAGCCATCTGTCTTCAAGTAGAGCAGACAGTGTAATACATTCTTCATGTTCTGTCCTTGGGCTGCTTTCTCTTCACTGATGTGCTTTAGTATCCTGCATGGGGCTGTAACTCCTTAGCATTCACTGCCGATGCTGATGTGTCGTACAGAGCCACATCTAAACCAAGCTTCAGCATTTCATCCACCTGTAGCCTTCTTGCTGATATAGGCAAAAATAGGCAGCCCTTCAGGGTGAACTCAAGCCCAGTTCCATCTGTGCCTGCTTCTATTATTTTTTTTTTAATGCTCACCCAAGGACATTTTTACATTTATCTTCAGATGGAGGGAGAGAGAAACATCGATTGGTTGCCACCCACACAACCCCAACCAGAACCAGGGACAAACCGCATCTGAGGTACGTGCCTTTAGCTGGAATCGAACCTAGGACTCTGGTCCGTAGGCCATTGCTCTAACCACTGAGCAAAACCCGCCAGGGCTTTACCTGCTTTTTTTTTTAATCTTCACTCGACATTTTTCCATTTTTTTGTTCAGATAGAGTGGGAGGGAGAGAGAAAGAAACATCGATGTGAAAGGGACACATGGAGTGGCTGCCACCCACACAACCCAACCAGGGCTGGGGACAAATTGCAACCGAGGTATATGCCCTTAGCAGGAACCGAACCCAGGTCTCTCGGGACCGCAGGCCGACAATCTAACCGCTGAGCCAAACTGGCCAGGGCTGTACCTGCTTTTAATGGATGGATATAGAGTGCTGCAAGGTACACAAGTAGGCTAACTGATCCCACCAGTCCATGTGGCTGAGTTACGTGGTGTCCCACGGAAGAATGCCTAAGTTCCAGTAGAGCCCTGATAGCTAACCTGATGGGCATGGTCTTAAACCAAGATCTCTTCTGATTTTTTTCTTTTTTTTTTTTACCCCCAGGAGCTTTGCTGAGTAGGCATTTTTTCTCCAGGATTTATCTCCCCAATTAAGCATATATGTTTTACCAAGATGCCTGGATTCTTTTTTTTTTTTTAATCCTTACCCGAGGATATTTTTCCATTTATTTTCAGACAAAGTGGGAGGAAGAGATAGATAAAGAGAAACATTGATGTGAGAGACAAACATCGATTGGTTGCCTCCTGCATGACCCTAGCCAGGGCCGGGGACCAAACTGCAACCGAGGTACGTGCCCCTGACCGGAATTGAACCCAAAACTCTTCGGTCTGCGGGCCAATGCTCCAGTTGCTGAGCCAAACCGGCCAGGGCAAGACACCTGGATTCTTGTCCCTTCCAATTCTCCATGATAAGTAGCATGACATCAATGAAGTGGACCACCGTGATGTCCTGGGGGTGGGTAGTCAAGGTCTTAAAAATGAGGTTGTGCGAAACTAGAGTTGGCCCTGGACAGTGTTGCTCAGTGGTTAGAATGACAGCCCATGCATGGGAGGGTCATGGGTTCAATTCGTGGTCAAGGGCACATACCTGGATTGCAGATTTGATCCCTGGCCTGAGTCGGGCATGAGCAGGAGGCAACCATTCAATGTGTCTCACATCGGTGTTTCCCTCCCTTCCGGTTTCTCTAAAAATGCAATAGAAAAAATATCTTCAGGTGAAGATTAACAAAAAATTATAATAATAATATAAGAGATTAAAAAGACACTAGACATTCACTGGGGCTGGGCGGTGACGGTATACTGCCAGGTGAAGGAAAACTGCTTGTCATGGTCCAAGTAGACAGGAAAAGAGAAGGATATTTGCCACATGAATGGGTACTGGGTGCCTGCTTGATCTGCTCCATCATGGAGACCACACTGGACCTGAGTTTGTCTGTGCCTCAGTTTTCTCGAAAGGAAGATAGGTAAAATACAGGTATCAACCTATAAGATTGTTGTGGTAATTAAATGAGACATTCATGTAAAATAGAGTTTAATGCCTGGGAGTAAATGTTCAATACATATTTTTACTATATTGTTATTGTTGTTTTTGTTGTTGTTGTTGTTATTTTAATGAAACTAGCAAATGGGCATGAACTCATCATACCAGGGACTAAGAATTACATGCCAAATACAGCCAAAATGAGAATGAGTTGATAGAGGCCAAGATCTGCCCTGCAGCTCCCCTTAACTCCAGCAGAGGGCAGTCACCTCAAGACAGTGACAACGCCCTCAAAACTGTAAAATATAAAATTAGTAGATTTGACTAGGTTAGCCCACCCTTATCCTGGAATATATTCTAAGACCCCTAGTGGATTGCCTAAAACTGAGGATAGCACTGAACCTTATATACTATAGTATGTTTTTTTGAATACATACATACCTTTCACTTATGGGAAGCACATTAGGCCCTGGCTGGGTTGCTCCATTGATTAGACCATAATCCTGATACACCAAGGCGATGGGTTTGATCTTTAGTCATGGCACACCAAGAGTCAACGGCCCGGCCGGTGTGGCTCAGTGGATTGAGTGTCATCCCATGGACTGAGAGGTCCCGGTTCAATTCCTGGTCAGGGCACATGCCCTGGTTGCAGGCTCTATCCCCAGTAGGGAGCATGCAGGAAGCCAATGATCAATGTTTCTCTCTCACATCGATGTTTTTATCGCTTCCTTCCTCTATCTCTAAAAAATAAAAACAGTCCTGGCTGGTTTGGCTCAGTGGTTAGAGTGTTGGCCTGCGGTCCAGAGAGCCCCGGGTTCGGTTCCCACTAAAGGCACGTACCTCCGTTGCAGTTTGTCCCCGGCCCTGGTTGGGTCATGCAGGTGGCAACCACTTGATGTGTCCCTTTTGCGTCGATGTTTCTCTCTCTTTCTCCCACTCTATCTGAACAACAAATGGAAAAATGTCCTCGGGTGAGGATAAAAAATAAAATAAAAAATTTAAAAAATCAATAAAAACATATTTTAAAAAAGAATCAACCAATGAATGAATAAATAAGTGGAACAACAAGTCAATGCTTCTCTCTCTCTCCCTTCCCCTCGCTAGAATCAGTCAATCAATAAAATTTTTTTTTAAAGGAAGCACTTTATGGTTTCTCTTTGGCATATCTAAATTGCTAGCATCACTACTCTTGTTCTTTGGGGCCAGCATTGAGTAAAATAGGGGTTACTTGAACACAAGCACTTTGACACAACGGCAGTCGATCTGGTAACCCAGCCGGCTACTAAATGACCAACAGTGGGCAGCATGTACAACTTGGAAATGCTGGACAAAAGGGACAAAGGGATGATGCACATCACGTAGAGAACGGAGGAGGTCAGCACGAGTTTTATTATACTGCTCAGAACAGCACACAATTTAAAACTTAGGAATTGTTTATTTCTGGAGTTTTCCATTTAGTATTTTCAGACTGTGGTTGACCATGGGTAACTGAAACCACTGAAAACAAAACTGCGGACAAGGGGGGGCTACTGTATTCTATTGTATACATTTATTTCATTTTACTGTTGGTGGACATCTGGGCTATTTCCAGTTGGGGACTATTACAAACAGTGCCACTGTGATCAACATCCTTGGACATGTCTTTTTGATGCTCATGCTTGTGCATTTCTGGAGTGGAATTCCTGGATCAGACGTGTGTACATGTTCAGCTTCAGTAATACTACCAAACAGCTTTCCCAAGGAATTGTGCCAATCTAGACTCCTCAACAGTGTAAGGAGGTTCCCATTGTTCTACATTCACTTGGTAAAGCCAGACTTTTTAATGCTGGCTATTCCAGTGGATGTGTGTTTCATTACAGCTTTAATTTAATTTTTTTTCTTTAATTTTTTTTAAAGTTTTTATGTTTTTAATTTTTTTTCCTTTGTTGGTTTTAGAGAGAGAGAAAGGGAGAGGGAGAGAGAGATAGAAACATGAAAGAGAGAACATTGACTGGCCACCCCTGCATGCTCCCTTCTGGGGATCGGGCCCACAACCTGGGCATGTGCCCTGACCAGGAATCAAAGCCGTGGCCTCTTGGTGCCTGGGTCGATATCCAACCACTGAGCCACACCGGCCAGGATGTATATTCTTTTTTTTTTTTTTTAATCCTCATCCGAGGACATTTTTCCATTTTTTGTACAGATAGAGTGGGAGGGAGAGAGAGGAAGAGAGAGAGAGGGAAACATCGATGTGAAAGGGACACATCGAGTGGCTGCCACCCGCACGACCAACCAGGGTCGGGGACAAACTGCAACCGAGGTACGTGCCCTTAGCGGGAACCAAACCCGGGTCTCTCCGGACCGCAGGTGGATGCTCTAACCGCTGAGCCAAACCGGCCAGGGCAGGATGTATATTCTTATAACTGAATTCTACTCAGAAATAAAAAAAGAAACGAACCACCGCTGTATGAAACAACACGGATGAATCTCAATAAAATTATGTAGAACAATGCCGACATAAAAGAGTACAAACTCTACAGCCACATCTATATGAAGTTCAAGAACAAACACAACCAATCTGATGTGACACACAAAGTAGAGGCCGTATCTGAGAGGACAGCGACTAGGAGACGGCACAGCTATTCTTCTAGGTGGTGACTTACAGTGTATAATTAGATGGAAACCCATCGAGATGCACACTTAAAAGTTTTTGCACTTCATGTAAATTTTACTCTGATAAATAAAAATGAAGGAGAGATAGTTCCCTTCACAAGGACAAGATGATATAGTCAGAAGTGACTGCATAAATTTGTTGGCTCTGAAAGTAGAAAGGGCATCATATGAATGCCCTCTCCTCTGTAAATATGTGCGTTACCCTATTCGTAATGAGAAAGCCGATTGTCTTTCTACACCCGCCCCAAGTTGCTATACCTTGCACCCTTTGTCTCTAAAAAAGAAGCAGTGCAGGGTGGGCCTCTGCACATGGAGCCCACATGGTTTCATCTGAATGTGTGCTCTGACCCATTTACCAGAATCAGAAGGACAATGGGCTTTGAGGGTCATCCAGGGTGAGAGGACCCCAGAGGAGATTCGGCTTCAAGGTAGGCAGCCTGGCTCTCTAGGCCTTATGACCCCGGCGCCCTCTCATGCTCCAGATGTCCACAGCTGATCAGAATGCTGGGGGAGCCTGTGGCCAGCTCCAGCGGGATCTCACATCAGAAGTCCCGAGGGTTTTAGAACAAAGCTCAAACCCTTTTTGACAAATCAATATCTCCTTTTGTGTTTGTCCCCAGTCCTGTTAGAGACTGCCTGTGTGTCAGTTAGCTTATTCTGTATAAAAAGCCACCCCAGCCCTGGCCGGTTTGGCTCAGTGGTTAGAGCGTCGGCCTGCGGTCCGGAGAGACCCGGGTTCGGTTCCCGCTAAGGGCACGTACCTCGGTTGCAGTTTGTCCCCCGCCCTGGTTGGTCGTGCGGGTGGCAGCCACTCGATGTGT